TTAGGTTCTATATATTCTTTTTAATGTCAAAATCAAAAAAAATAAAAAAACAAAGTAAAGTTTCTTATACCAACTCCTTTTAATTTAATCTACTAGCCCCTCTAATATACATCTAGATTTATTAACATATAATATGTTTTAATTAATTTTTACATACTAGAAGTATTTACAATACAACAAAGGGGCCCAATATTGCAAGGTACAAGCCCAAGGGGCCCATGTTTATATTCATCTAATTAAGGTAGTTCTTAGCAATACAATTGCTTGGAGCATTGCTACTTGGTACAACCGGACCCCTGATAAGAACATTCTTATCTCAAATTCAACTATTTCAAGTTCAAGCAAAATTCTAATCTTATTATATCACTGATTGGAGTACCTTAATCATTATAACATAGAATATATGGCATGCCATCTTCTTATTTTTGGATTATCCTTATTATCAAATAGTTTATCTTTTTGTGATGGTTGTATTTATGAAAACCACAATAACACACCTTCTCTCAAAACACCTACTACACGTACGACAACATTATTGGTGTTGGTTCATGCTGACCTTTGTAGTCCTATGGCTATCCTTTCTCTTAGAGGGGCTTATTATTTCTTCTTATTTTTGGATGATTACTTGAGATCCCACAATAATCTTTTTTTTCAAAAATAAATCTAAAGTTTTTGCTCTTTTTTAAAAATATCATTGCCAAGTTATCATTCAATTTGGCCAATCCTTATTAATCCTTTGAACGGTGTCATGTTGTTATACAATTATATGATGAAGATATGACTAAAAATAATTTTTTAATTAATATACTATTATATTAGTTCAACAAGAATTCAAAATATTTTAATAAGACTTTTATGAAAGTCTCTTAGCCTATTTTATTGTCTTAATAGCAAGTAGATAAAAGTTAGTTAGTATTTTTACCTTCTATGATATAAAAACTCTTTTACTATCTTAGAAAGGCCATAAATTCATAAAATCGGAATAGAAGAGGTAAATGGTTGATATGGTTGATACTAAGATCAAGTTGAAGGTAGGATTGGACTAAAAAAATCCTTAGAATAGATAAGATTGATACCCGAGGGTCGACTATTTATGAGACAGGGCTGAAATCAAACCTCTAGTCATTGAAATAACCACCTAGGACAAATTAGGATTTTATTCGAAGATCAAAGATTAGGAATTGAGAGCTAACTTAAAGCTCTTTCCAAAAGCATTAGCATTATTTTTGTACGGTTTTTAAAGACTTGGCAAATGATATTCAAAGTTAGAGTTTGTATTGGTGATTTGGACTTTACATAATATAATTAGAGTTAGTAATTTTTGATATTTCATGCAATTGGTGTAATATCTATGGTTCAAAATTGGGTACTACTTGTTTTATTGGATGTACTAAGTATATACAAAAAATTTTAATAATCTAAAGGTGTGGTTTAGAGATATGTGGTTTTTAGTACAAGAGGATTTTGGAAGTTGGCAATTTAGAGTTGGATAGGATTTTTGTGATATCTAGAGATCAACTAGTCGAATCAAGATGAAATTTCACATGGTCTTAAAAGACTTAAATATCAAGCTGCACACCAATTTTGAATCAAAGTTAATAGTTATAGAAGGAGAAATCACTACTGAGATTTTTACTTCACTTTTCAAGTTGGCAGCTGAGTGACATCAATGCAGTTTTTGGAAGTTTTCTCACAATTTGTAAGTTGGATTGGGCTAAAACTTCTTAAGCGTATAGAAGACTTACATTGAAAAATGCAAGCAAAATTTCACATCAAGTAGACAATCAAATTAGAAGTTATAGCTTGTTAAAGCTCACTAATTAGTATTGGGGCTTATAAGAAAAATCTAAATTGCTTAAATATAAAAGTAACAAGGTAATTGAAATTTATGTATAATTGAAGCTACTAAGAAGAGTGTTTTTTAGCACTTTTGAATCAGAATTTGGATTATATTCTTTTCATATAGATAAAACCTATTAGGATTTTTTTTTTATGTTTGTAAAACACAACCTCACCTTCCACAGCTAAGTGCCAGGTGCATTCTCGAGCAAAACAACATGTAATATGACAACATATAATGGTAGAAAATTTACCAATATAATATTCTCAACTTATTATGAGCTTCATGGTATTAATCAATATTTTATGACTCCATACATTCTTTTTCAAAATAATGTAGTTCAGTGTAAAAATCAATCTCTTATTAATTCGGCTTGCATCATGTTACATGCATCCAATCTCACTACTAATTATTGAATTAAACTGGTTTTTACTGCTTGATATTTATAAAAATTATCTTTTTATTCTTTCTTATTAAATATAACTCCCTAGGTATAATGGACCCGCATTAAATCCAAATTCCATCACTTATGCACTTTGGATGTTAAACATTTGCTAAAATATCCAATACTCAATGTTTAAAACTTAATACACTCACTTGTCAATGTTTGTTTCTTGTCTATATCAAACCTCTTGGCATTCAAGGCTATGAATGTATGATGTAGATATCCATAAGCACTTTGTGAGTTGAGATGTGATCTTCAATGAAAATTCTTATATCTTAATCCACCTATGGAGTCTCTATTTCTTTAAGAGGAGATGAATAATCTTCTCAATCTATCTATGGTGGAGCCTATAATGCTATCAAGCCTACCAAGATCATCACAAGTATTCAATTCACCATCCAAAATATCAAAGATAGCTTTCATGATCACCTCACGTCTATTCATCGCTCTATTGATTCTACAAAGACTTCTATTGTTTATTGATGATGGTCATGAACAAGCTCTCTCAATAGATGACCTTGAAGTTTCTTCACCACCATCTCTTGTCCCTCTCTTATTCACAATCAAGTCATTCACACTTCTAGTACCATGCCTTCTTCGTCTATAGTATCATCCATTGATCTCCAATGGAATTTTTCAAAAGTCAAACCACTTCAATAATCTTTTCAAATCACTTGTAGAACTTGATAAACATCTAAGATAAACAATATTGCTTTTTATGTTGGTAGATTTCTAGTCACCTTCGTGGATCTACTTTTGATTCGTGAAGCACTTACAAGTGACGATGCCTCAAATTGGCATCTAGCTATAGAAAAGTAAATATAATTCTTCAATAAAAAATAGAACATGGAAGTTGGTCTCTCATCCTTTTAATTGCTCCATTGTAATCACCAATTGGCTATTTTGTCAAAAATATAATTCCAATGGTTCTCTAGCATGTTTTTAGGCATATTTTGTGGCTCAAAGTTTCTTACAACAAGAAGGCCTTGATTATTATAAAACTTTCTCTCTAATCATCAAAATGACATCACTACATCTCCTTCTTATTTTAACTACTTTTTATGACTTTCATATTTATCAGATGGATGTCACTATGGCTTTCTTAAATGGTGTTCTTAAAGAAGAAAATTACATCACTCAATCCAAAAGATTTGTAATACTCAATCATGAATATAAGGTATGTTATTTACTTAAATCCTTATATGGATTAAAACAAGCTCCTCACACATAGTGTGATCTATTGGATGATTTTCTAGTCACTAATGGATTCTCAAAATGTATTTTGGATATCAATGTTTAATATAAACACTTCTTTACATCTGTAATCTACATTGGACTTTACATTAATGATGTAGTTTTAATCTCAAATGATTTATCTTATCTCATTTCCATTAAAGCCCTTTTTTCTTCTCGTTTTTCTATGACAGACAACAAAAAAATCGAATACATCTTAGGTATTCAAATTTGTCATAATTTTGCCATCCGCACTTTAATTCTCTCTCAAGCCAAATATGTCTCAAATATATTAAATTATTTTTCTATAAATGATTGCCATGCCATTTCTACTCCTCTTGAAGGTAGTATTCACTTTTTTTGAAGGTCTTGACCTCATGAAGGGGGGGATATTAAATTCATGGCATCAATTCCATATGCACATATCACTAAAAGTCTACAATACCTTATCACTTGTATTAGATATAATTTAGCCTTTGTAATACATCATATGGCAAAATTTATGGCTAAGCCTAGTCCAATTCATTGGACGGCTTTAAAATGCATACTCCATTATTTAAAACAAACTCAAAATTTTGAACTATGTTACTCAAATTCTTCTTCCACCTCTTCACCACAACTTTATGATTGGAGTGATGCGGATTATGCGAGAGATCTAGATACTCAAAAGTCTACTTTTGAATACAAGTTTTACCTCAACTCATTTCTTTTGAGTTGTCATTCTAAGAAATAAGCAGTGGTAGCATAATCAAGTACGACACCATAATATATTGCAGTGGCAACATCTTTAAAAAAATTGATATGGCTTCAAACTCTTTTCAAAGAAATTAGACATCAAGTAACTTTAACAAGCACAATTTATTGTGATAATCAATCATGTATTGCAATGACACGAAACCCACATTTCCATGATTGCACAAAACATATTGATATCAAATACCATTACATTTGACACAAAGTAAAAGCAAATGAAGTTGTCTTGGAATTTATTTCTACAAACAAAATGAAATGCGGGCAAATATAATGACAAAGTCACTTCTGAACCCATACACAACCATTTCATGAAATACTTAATCAACATTGACAATTCAAATAAAATGTAGTCTATGTTGATTAAAGAGAGGTGTTAGATTTGCTAATACATATTAGATTAATTAATACATGTTGGTAAATGCAGAATTACCTTTAGGTAGTTACAAAGTAGTAATGAAGAAGTTACAACTACTTCTCTCCACAAGACAATGTAAAAGGCTCTTATAAATATGATGGAATCAAGTTATTTTAATAATATACTTCATGATTTATATTATTGTTAGTGTTCTCTCTCTTACAAAACCGTCCCCTACAGAAATTTATGGATACCAGCAATAACCAGAATCAGCGCCGTATTTCTCAAACATAACACAAAATATACGCTCAGTAGCAAACTTACCTAAACAAACTGATCCTGCATACACAAGTGATCATACACCAGACAAAAGATGAGTGTAGAATGATAGAATGTTCAGATTATTTCAAAGGCACTGCCGGAACGTGTACACTCAATGAACAGAATTCTCTTGGTCCGCATCACCGGTCGAAACCAAGTCTAGACGATGCCAGTCCGTCTTTCCTCCAGTAAATGAACACAATTATTTCGTTACTTCACAAGTGTCGTGATAACTCATGGAGGAAACCCTACGCACTCATGGCCAACGGGTTTCTATCACAACCTCATAACCAGCTCGATTCCTCCCAAGCTGCGTCGCGTTTTTTTTATCGCTTGCTCCTGCATCGAATGGTGATGCGTGCAGCCGTCAAGCATGGTATCCGAACGCAACAATGTTCCCTCGGAAGGAGGACTGGTGCTCGTGTCTGATGTTGCCCCGGAATGGAGCACCAGCTCTCGCTTATGTCCTGGCGTCCCAGAATGTGAAGTCGGGAGAGCACTTGAATCCACCCTCGGGGTAAATGTGCTTCCCTGTCAAAAAAGCCGTCGCCAACGCCTTGTTCACCGTGTTCGACGTGTGGATCCCGTCATAGCTCAGGACTCCCGCAGGATTGGCGCAGGGGGTCGTCAGATTCACGAACTTGCCCTCCACCGTTCCGAAATCGCCGCACCACACGTCCTTGTTGAAGTTGTACTTCCCTCCCGTTCCGCAGCATGCCTTCAGTGGAGTCGTCACATCTGCACAAACACCGCGTCACCACCAGATTACTTCCAACCTCGAACAACCTCGTAACCACCTCAGGAATCCCTCAGAATTTCATCCCCAGAAAGAAACTCGACTCCTCCAACTCCCTCCCATGCAACTCCCTCCCTCTCCCCCACAACACAAAATAACCCCCAAACCCAGGCCTCGCATTCGTGGTGGATGTACTCACTGTAGTCTGCTGGCTTCTTCAGAATGTCCTCGTACACTCCATACACATCGCCGTAGTACAGCTTCGCCGCCGGGTACTTCTTGCGCAGTGCCTCCACCTTCTCGCCCAGCAGCTTGTTGTGGGCCTTCGAGATCTTGTTCAGATCGCTCAAACACCCATACTCGTCGTACTTGGCGTGGGATCCTCCGTGCACCGTCAGCAGCGCGGGGACGCAACCCAGAGGGAGCTGGTTCTGGATGAGGACTTCCGTCGCCGGGGGCATGAGCATTGTGGGGAATCCGGGAGGGGTGTACTCCACCACCGCCAGAATCTTCTCGATGTGCTCCTCGATGGCCTTCACCACCTCAGGCACGATCTTCCGGGTCTGGCTCACCGTCAGCTTCTTCTCGTACAGGCTCCAGAAGTAGTCCTGGTATCCTGCCCACACCGTGAACAGCGACGAGTTCACGCTGGATAGCTTCGGGAGGCTCTGCACCAGTCTTCCGTTGGGGTTGTACACGGGAGACTCGTAGAACCACAGACGAATCTTGTAACGCTGGAACCACTGCTGCTGCACATCCAGGGAGAACGGAGAGGTAAACTTCTCCCCTGTGTTCCACACCTTCACGGGCCTCGCAGAGCCTCCGTACGCCGCGAAGTTGGACCCGTAAGTGAAATCTCCGGCAGTTCCTCTCAGGATGGCGTAGTTAGGGCGCCTCCTGATTCCGAAAGCTGCACCACCAAAAACACGTTCCCTCATGTCAGCCAACCAGCCTCGAGCATCCAGTTCGCAACAGCCCAATCCAGCTCTTCCCCCTCCACACAGGCTGAACACGAACTCATCCAATTCCCACCTATTCACGATTGTCGGGGTGATCGAATAACACGATTCACTTATCCTTGCGTCGTCCAGACAGAGAAGCCCCGAATTGCTGGGGCCTGGACTGACACAAACCTGTGTGCATCAAGCACAATCCCAGCAGTGAACCCATTTTTGCGCCACAACAGAACGTGCTCATCGTACGGCTTTTGGACCCTGCGCTGAACTGCCGGGTGTGCCACAAATCGAGTGCAAACGACCGAAGCTGAGGGAAGCGAGTCTGAGGCAACGTACCAAGGAAGTCGATGAACATTTTGCCGTCCGTGTATCGATCTGCAGCGTGCATGGGAAATTGGATTCCGTAGGGATCAATCTCGGCATGTTTGAACTTCTCTGGAAAGGCGGCGATGCCATTGCCGACATCGGTGAGAGAGTCTCCGAAGCCGTAGATGGCCGGATAGGAGCAGTTGGGCAGTGGGTCGGCTGCAGCAACCAGGTGCACGGCGCAGAGGAGCAAGCCCCCCAAACACCACAAGGACAATCTGGCCATCCTTCCGCCTCCTGCCAGTCCTAACTGTTGTCAGCGGTCAGACACAGACTTAGGTCTTCTTGGGCTATTTCCGCTTGATCTGGTGAGAAGCAACTCTGCAAAATTGACGATGAGATTGTAGTTTGCAGATGATTTGTGATGGAGTGGGCTTACTCTGCGCGTTTTATGTTTGCAGGGGTGAGTGCAGTGGATCTGAATTTCCTTGCGCTGACCTTTTGGTCGAGGAAAACGGTGTCATTTGTGGAAAGTCTGAGACGCGCCGTTTTCGTGGTTGAAGCTTCACCAGCGGGTAGAAATGGTGAATTTTTGGGGGGGAATGAAGCCAGCTGACGAGTTTATTGTGGATCTGCATCCTGGGATGACTCTTTATATATTTTTACTTAATTGTGTATTCTTGTTCGTGTTGTAGGTGGGTGTACTGTGGAGTTTTTTAACTTTGTGTTTCTAATTTTTTAAACAGTTTTGTTGACATTTCTTTTTGATTTTGATTATTGCCCCTTCTTTTGGATATTTCATCTCATCGGGATGCATGATACAATGGCATTCGGTCAGGGTTTGACTGATCTGGACTCACAGTCCTCTTTTGATTCGAGGTATCCCGCTGGCGGTTTTTTTTATTTCCGGTCTATTTTAGGTGTAGACTTTCCAACTCTTATATAGCAGTGGATTCTGCTTGTAGGTCTGTTTGATTCTTCGTATCATGATCTTGAGTGAGGACTGTATTGCTTTTGAGCACTATCATTAGCAATTTTAAAATATTAAAAGAGATTGAAAGTGAGGACTGTATTGCTTTTGGACAAGTTATTCCAACACCAATTACGAACATAATTCAAATCGATCTACTTGTCTGCATTTTGTTTCAGGTTTTCACATGTGTGATGTTAACATTGAGTTCCTAGAGGGCTTATCTACAAGCTCAGCAAAAATAAGTCAAGTTGTTTGTGGAAGACAAAGAGTTGATGAGATGTGGTAATCAATAATAAAATGTTGAGTAGGTGAGAAAGTTTAATTGAACTTATAGACGTAGAGATGATGTCATGGACATACATAACTACTCTAATATTTATCTATATGATTAAGTAGACGTAGATAAAAATAGATTTATTTCATAATATTTTTTAGAAAAGATTTTTAAAAGTTTTGATGACATTGCTTTGATTTTACATGTATTTCTATTTAATTGATAGATTAAAAACTAGCTTGTAAAACAAGCTAACAATGTAGCATATATATAAAAAACTTGCTTTGCAAGTTAAGATATGTATCTTGTAAAGTCAACACATTTTGGAGGTTCTATTGGACATTGCTACATAGCTTCTACTTAAGACTTTATATGGAAGTAAGAATAAAGCCTTCTTTATTCTTGTCAATGCCTTTCTACTTTTTAGTCTTATTTCTAGACTTTTTAATTTTCTTATCTTTGACAGTAGGCATTGTGATTTAATCCATATCATCTTAGAGCAATTTTTTAATTCTTTTGAGTGATACAAGAGTATATTAAGGATTTCTTTTTTTGAGATTCATGTCCTTGATACTTTGACAAGGTTTCTAACTTATTGTTTTTTTCTTTTTTTTAGAAGAGATTGGATTACATCACTTCTATTTTTGTATTTTGAAGGTTAAAGACTACCCATTTTTAAATAAATAATCTTGTTTTCTAATACTAATTTTTTCCTTAAAGATAGTCGGTTATTTCTCTTTGTCAAAATTTTCATTTGATATTAGTGCTTATAGATTATCTTCTTTTAATTTAAATTTTAAATTTATTTAAATTATCTATAGAAGAATAAATTATGGATGTTAGTCTTATTGGAAGTAAAAATAGATTTTCAACTATTGCAAATTTTTATGAACTTGTCAACACTCTGAGTAGAAATCTTACGTATTTTTAATGTGAATCAAGGAGATAATATTCCTATCTCTATGAAAGAAGTTCAGAGTCTATGGCAAGAAGTTGTGCAGTTGGAAGAAGTAAGCAGATCAACGTCACAACCAAACCTAGAGAGTTTTACTTCTACAAGTATGATAGAAATAAAAATTAGTATGCTTGAGAAATTTGATGGAATAAAATAAAAATTTCAAAGATTTTTACAATAAATCAAGTTCTATTTAAGATTGCATTCCTTCCAATATCCTAATGGATTTACTGAAGTCGGATTGATAAAGATACTTCTATTAGGAAGTACTTACACTTCATTTGCACTTTTAAGAGAAAAGGATTCAAAACTCTTTTATGATTTAAATTCATTCTTAGAAGTATTTACGGCCATATTTGAAGAAAGTGATTGAGAAAGAATAACAGAGATCAAGTTCTTATCTTTATGATAAAGATCATGGTTAGTCATCCTATATATTGCTAAATTCCAAAACCTTGCTTATAACATGGACTGGAACGACAAAGCCCTTATTAATCAATTTTGACATTAGTTGAAAGATAATGTTAAAGATTTATTACTGATAATATCAAAGGTAAAATCTTTGAAACAATTTATTGCACAAGTCATTATATACAACAAAGGATTATTTGAAATACATCAAGAACCAAGACTTAACTAGAAAGGAATAAATCAAATAATGACAATAGCTCCTAACTTTTCAAAAATACATTCATAAAAGCTAGAACCAATGTAAATTGATATAATACATTTTAAATCCTTCAAAGAGCAAAAAAAGACTTAACAATGTCAAGAAGGCTTATATTTATATTGTGGAGAAGCTAAACACACTACTCAATATTATCCAAAGAAACAACTCAACTACAAAATGAGAAGCATGGTTGCTAAAGAAGATTATGTATCAAAAAATAAGTTTCTCCAACTATAATAAAAATCATACAATTAGAATCTTATGTAAATTTTAATAAAGACCCTATTCTTTCTTTAAACCGTTCATCTTATTTTATAATAGAAATTTATTTAGGACCAAAAAATCATAAAATCTTAGCTTTGTTAGATTTAGAAGCCTAAACCTATTTATAGATAAAGATTTTGTCAAAAAATAAGAAATATTTTTAATCAAAAAAACTAAATCCATACATATAGAAATCATAGATAGTTGTTTGCTATCTTTTAGAGATGTCATGCATGAGATTGTGTCAAGGACAAGAACTCGATGAAAGCTAAAGAGTAAGTGAGACTTTTCTCAAAAAGAAATAGGACAAAATATGTATATTAAGAAAGAAACTGGAATGGCTATTGCCAAAATACAAGAAAACTAGAGACCCTTGAAACTAGACTAGAAGCAAGAAAGGAGTTGACAAGAGTGAAGAGGGCTTCACTCTTGCCTCTATATATACTATCTAACTAGAAGCCACGTGGCGATGTTCTATAAGACCTCCAATATATGTTGACTTTCTAGGCCACATGCCTTTGCTTGCAAGGCAAGTTTTCTATGGATGGACCACATAGTTAGCTTGTTCTTTAAGCTTCTAACATGCGTGGCACATGGCTAACTTGTTGACCAAGTTTCTAACCTAAAAGTCAACTATAGACTCCTATAAAGTCAAAGCAGCGTCTATGAAGCTTCTAAGAAGCTTCTCTAGAAGATATTACACAATTAACCTACTTTTACATACTTTTATCTATTCATATAGGTAATTATATGTATGTCCGTGACAGATTGTTCCTTAAGATGTAGCAATTAAAGATCATAATGATTATATATTGAGAAAATCTAATATGCGGCGAATTGTATTTGCTACATACTCTGATCTTTGTTCTCTTCGAAGATAGTTGATGGGTCCTCTTTTTTTTGATAGTTCAATCCAAATTCCATTAATCAAGTTGCAAATACATAAGTTCAATACATCCTAATCCTTACTAGCAAGTGCAAGAGCTCTTATGCATGCAGCAAAAGAATGGTCATCTTTTGCTATATATGCTATGCCTATTTCTAATGGTGGAAAGATATTAAGTAGTATTTCTAGCAAGTATTAAGATTTCTAAGATGATTTTGAAAAGAAGAATATAGATATTCTTCTAAATCATCATCTTTATGATTGTTCCATCGATCTTCAAGAAGGAATTCAACCACCATTTGGACCAATCTATAGCCTATCAAAAAATGAGTTAGTTCTATTCAAGGAATACATTAATGAAAACTTAGCTTAGAATTTTATATGCCATTCTAAATCTCTAGTTGAAACTTTTATCTTATTTGTTAAGAAAAAAGATGGATCTTTACAAATATGTATAGACTATTGAAGATTCAATAAGATCACCATCAAGAATAAGTATCTTCTACTTTTGATTTCAGGACTTCTTAATGAAGTCAATCAAGTAAAGATCTATACAAAAATAGATCAACAAAGAGCATATAATCTAGTACACATTAAAAAAAGAGATGAATGAAAAATTGTATTATGAACCAAGTATAAGCATTTTGAATATAGTATCATACCTTTTGGATTCACAAATGCACCAATTACTTTTTAACATCTAATAAATGATGTCTTTTGTGAATTTGTAAATTATTTTATCATTTATTATTTAGATAACATCTTAATCTACTCTAAGAATACAAAAAAGTATAAAATTCATATTTTTTGTGTGTTACAAAAACTTAAAGATGTAGGATTATATGCTAAGTTAGAAAAATATATATTCCATACTACTCAAATTGACTTTGTAGGTTACATCATTCTCAATGAAGGACTAATAATGGATCCAAAGAAGATCCAAACTATCATAGATTGGAAGATTCTAAGAATATTAAGAGATGTATAATATTTGTCAATTACTATCAAAACTTCTTTAAGAATTTTTTTCAAGTTTCATCTCTACTTACACATTTGACTTATAAAGGCAAAATTAAGTGGAGTAAATAAGTTGTAGCATCATTTGATGCTTTAAAAAAAGAATTTATTTTTACACCAATCTTATATTATGTTAACTTTTCTAAGGCATTTTTTATGGAAACAGATGCATCAGACTTTGACTTAGGTATGGTATTTTCACAAATAGGAGTAGATAAAAAATTCCATCCAATACCTTTCTATTACAAAAAACTTTCAGCATTTAAAATTAATTATGAGATCTACAACAAAGAGCTCCTTACAATCTTGGATTCATTTCAAGAATTGTGTCATTATCTAAAAGGTGCCTCGAGTCCAATCACTATGTATATAAATCACACAAACCTCTAATAATTCAT